TACATATATACATATATGTATGTATGTATGTATGTGTATATATATATAGTGTATGTATGTATGTATGTATGTATGTATGTATGTATTTATGTATGTATGTATGTATGTATGTATGTATATATGTAAGTATGTAAGTATGTAAGTATGTAAGTATGTAAGTATGTAAGTATGTAAGTATGTAAGTATGTAGGTATGTAAGTATGTAAGTATGTCTGTCTGTCTGTCTGTCTGTCTGTATGTATGTATGTATGTATGTAGACATCCATCCAGCCAGCCATCCATGCATACATATTACATATGGGTTCCTGTCAGGAGTTCTTTCAGGGGTTTTGGTTTAGGGTTTGGGGTCCAAGATCCGGCTGAGTTTCAGCGGGGATGGCGTTGGTGCCACAAACCTTCGTCACGAGAAACCATCCTTTACCAAAAACCCGCATCACCTCTATTTGGGGGTTTCCGACAATAGGGCACCCTAACATAGTACCCTAAACAGTAGGATCTTATTATAAGGACCCCAAATAAGGTACCCCTTATTTTGGAACTCCCATTTGCCCGGTCCCAAAGTTTTTAAGAGCAAGCAGCAGCGCATTTTGTCGACAGTATGCGGTTGCCGATCAGAGTTTGTCGTCACATTTTACCGACCTCGGTTTGCACACGTAGACTTGGCTTATCCGAGTAATTCCTACCCAGTCATGGCAGCATTTAGGTCTATCGCCTCTGCAGATTTTGGAAAGGCCACAAAACTCCCACTCGCTGCCGCTCTTCGCAGCATCATCGATGTCCTTGATGAGTTGCACGGCGCTGCCACGGATCTCGTCGACGGCATCTCTCACACGAGCGTCACTGGTGCGCTGCTCCTGCACAGAGTTGCCTACAGCTCCGATCATCTCCACATCTTGCATGGTCCCGCCATGACCCTCCAGGATACGTGTCGCCTGGACACGAGCCAGCACCAGGAAGAAGCTCAGGACCAATGTGAAGCTCATGGCGGCACAAGCCCGGCACTAGAGTTTGGCAAATCGATAGGAGAGTTTGAGCCACGTCTGAAGATGGCAATACCAATAGTTGGCTGAGTAAACCGACGAGGGCTGTAAGCATCTTATACGGCCGACATACAAGGAGCCCTACTGGGGGAAATGCCAGATACTCAGTGTCAAGATGATGGGAATAAGTAGGAATAAGCAAATAGCAGCGAGAATGCCAACACATCATGATCGTGGTCGTCACCAGACGAGCAAGTATACCAGTGCTGCTGACAGTTTCTCAAACATGACAGCAACAAGAAGCTAGCCGTTGTAGTGCCATTACTATAGGGGCCTTAATAATTAGAATAGGGTTTGGGGGTATAGTATATTAAATTATAATAAGGATCCCCCCAAAACCCTATTCTAATTATTAAGGCCCCTATATTACTTCTCCTATTGAGGCTTCCTTCCCAAATTTTCCCTCCCAGCTGCCTGAGCTGCTCTTCCAGGGTACAGGAACCCGAGTGCAGCTACAGCAACACCTGAGATGGGAGCCGGGTTTAGGGTTTAGGGTTTAGGGCTTTCGAGTTTGGGGGCCTTAGGCGCCGCAGTGGTTTTGAAAATGAATACACCTTCAACCCTGCACCCTCAACAGGGTGTCAAACTTTAATTATACCCTACATCCGTAAAGGAACCCTTACCCTAAGGCTCAAAATAGCCCAAAGGCCTTATGTAGTATGGTCTTTGGGCCCAAAGCATTAAAATATGAGTCCTTAGAGCCTTAGGGTTATATTATAGATCTCTTCGAATGAAAGAGAGCCTCTGAAATGGTACAGGGCCAAGATCGCCAGGCCAGGCTGCTTCGGAAAGGACACTCAGGAGATTCGGGACCCTACTAATGTAGGTTCTTAAATAGGGGTTTGGAGTAGATATTTCTAATGGCAATGAGGAGCCCCAAAATTGCATTGGCAATTCAAGCCCCCAGATTATCCAACCCAGCACGCCAAACCCCGACAAAACCCCCAAGACCCCCCCCCCAAGAAAAAAATAAAAACAACAAAAACACAAATATATATATATATATACACAACTGAAACCTGAATCCCTACCCTGAACCCTGAACTTAAATGCAAACCCTGAATATCCCTATGTAAAGCCTGAACCCTGCCCTAAACCCGCAGATCCTGACCTCTACCAGCCCGAGTCCCCAAACCTGCAATTGAATAATCCTGGGACATGATCAGCAGAAGATTTGTAACTAAGGGGCTTAAATAAAGAACCCTGACAAAACAAACCCTCGAAAAGCCGCACGAACCCCCCTATGAGCCCCTATCAAGACCGCACAGAAGCACTGTACAAAGACAATATTAAACCCTTTACAAAACAAACACAACGCAAGAACTCCCAAACCCCCAAGCCCTAAACCCAAAAACCCTAAACCCAAAAACCCTAAACCCTAGACCCTAAAACCCTAAACCCAAAAACCCTAAAACCCTAAACCCCTGACCCCTAAACCCCTAAGCCCTAAACCCAAGACAAGCAGCCGCAGGGTCGGCGAAGCTGTGAGCGAACTTCTTGAGCCGCACATGCGGCTGCGAGCGGAAGAGATCTCCATAACGGGGAAAAAAGAGTTTAGGGTTTAGGGTTTAGGGGGCTTAGGGTTGCGAGCGAAGGAGAGAGAGAGAGAGAGAGAGATAGAGAGGGAGGGAGAGAGAGAGAGAGGGAGAGAAACAGAAAGTGAGAACAAGCCGCGGACTCAATAGTTTGACAGCCAACGTACAAGGCCCCTGTGGGCGCTCCAGATCGCAGTAAACTTCTGCAATGCTGCTGGCTGCACTACGGTTGATGATATAGATCCTGCATTACACATATTAAGGAATATATCATAATTCCCATGGCTTAGGGTCCTTAAGGTAATGCAGGATTTATATCATCAACAGTATGGGGCTGCAAGTGTCTTACTGACTTGCTGAGCTCTATAGTGAATCCCAGAAAGTTGGAACATGGATTTAAATGCTTAGTGCCTGGATTCCTTTTGCTTTACCTTACGCGCATGAAGATAATGATGTTCCAACTTTTGGGCTTCTACTCTATGCTCTGCTAGTGAGGCCCTTTCTCTTCTGCAACTCATTAGAGCCCAAAACTCTATAGCCTAAAGCCCTAATGTAGTTAGAATAGGGTTTCAGGGTATATTCTGATTATAATAAGGAGCCCCCAAAATAGCATATGTAATCGTTCAGGCCCCTATTTTAGGGCCACCTCCCAAAGCCAAGGCAAACGCCTGTCTGCTAAGCTCCGACCCTCAAGCAGCTCTGTTGCAGAGCTTAGGAATACTATCCGGTGGGGTCCATTACTGCAATTATGCTACAATATATTTTTTCTATAGGGGCCTCAAAAATGTTTACTACAATCATGCTACAATATATTTGGATATAGGGGCCTTAATAATGAGAATAGGGCTTTTGTGTTATATTAGATCGAATATAGTATATAGTATAATCATAATAACATTAATAATAATAAGAAGAAGAATAATAATAACAATAATAATAGTAATAAGGAGCCCTGCGGAATCCTTTTGGTAATTATTTAGGTCCCTATATTCCCACAAAGCGGCCCCACAAAGCTGTGATTTTGTTGTCCACAGCGAGCTTGAGCGCTGTCGAAGTTCTTGAGCCCAGAGACCCAAATATCGCTGACTGATTGAGCATCCCTGCTTGGCTTTAGGGCAAATTTAGGGTTTAGGGTTTAGGGGTTTAGGGTTTAGGGTTTGAGGGTTTAGGGTTTGGGGGTTTAGGGATTTAGGACTTGAGGGGTATGCCTCATGAAGGCAAACTAAGATTCTCCAGGAGTCTCCGAGCCAAACTACCACTTCTCCAAAGGGTTCTGCCGCCGCATTGAAGGCCTTGCGGGTCAGGATTCTTGATCAGCTGTCGGAGGCCAAGACTTGGAGAGTTCCTTCATCCCTAAACCCTAAACCCTAACCATGCTTCGGGTGCTCGAGCTTTCTGTTCAAGACTCCGTTCACTTCTCTCCACTGAGAAGATGCCAGTGTGGGGGGGGACTTAAGGTAGGGACCCTTAGGTTTAAGAAGTGCCGGCAGCAGAGCTCCTGCACCCTCCCCTAAACCCTAAACCGTTACAGCAGCCCCGGATAGAACCCAGGAGACTAGAAGAGCCCTAGAAAACACGAAGGCCCTAAACGCCTAAACCCTACTGTAGGGGCCTTCATAGCTCGAAGTTTAGGGTTTAGGGTTTAGGGCTTTGGGCTCCTTGATCGTAGAACTCTGATATGGAAGCAAAAGGAATCATAATGGTAATTGTTTAGGCTTCTGCAGTAGCTGAACCTAAAGCCCTGAGCCCCGAACCTTAAAAGCCCCAAAACCATGATTAAGCCTGAAGATCTCAAGCCCCCAAAAAACCCCTAAAACCACCAAAACCCAGAAAACGCCACCCGTACTACGACCCCGAAGCTCTGAAACCCTAAACCCTGAAGCCCTAAAACCCTCGAGCCCTTGAGACTCATACACAGACACCCTCAAAACCTGAAAATTATACAGCTCCACAAAAACCCCAGATTCGGACACCCTAAAAAGCACCAAAACCCCTGAGATTCGCACAGCAGCCTAAACCCTAAACCCTAAGCCCTAAACCCCAAACCTTAAATCTCAAACCCTAAAAATCGCAAACCCTAAGCCCTAAACCCCCGGAGCCCTAAAAACACAACAAAGCCTAAACCCCTGAGATTCGGACACCAGCTTGTCGTTCCGCCGCTTTCTCGCGGCTGCCAGGGCCTATCTTCGGAGAGGCTCTCATGAGGACTTCGAAGAGTTGCGAAAGGTTCCGGGTTGGGGGGTTTAGGGTTTAGGGTTCAAGGTTTAGGGCTTGGGGGGCGGCGTTCGAGTTTCAGGGCTTTGGGATGAGGGTTTAGGGTCTAAGGGTTAGTTTGAAGGGCCTTTATTCTTTCGACGGGTGCTAAGGGGTTGGGGAGGTTTAAGGATTTTAATTATAGGTATACGTTTCAAGTGAGTGAGGGCGTATAGGGCGGCTACGAATTTTAAGGATATGCAGGGGGCACAAGAGTCGGAGTTCTAGGGATGTGTTAGATTCAAAGGTTTCTTGGTGATTTCCCTTGTGTGCTTTCTCTACGTAAGCGTTGAGGCTTTATAGACTAAAGTCTTAGGATAGATTTGCCATGGGGCCCTACAAACGCTGGCTAATAGTCAACAGTATGAACTTCCCTACCTCTTGCAGAGACCTTGTAGTAGAACTCTTGCAGAAACCTTGTAGAAACCTTACAGAGCTCCGACCGAATCCTACACCCCTGGACCTTGAACCGAAAACCCAAAAACCTAAACCCCAGACCCGAAACCCGAAACCCCACCCCTACACCCCGATACCCTAAACTCCCGAAATCCCCTAAACCCCTAAACCCAGAAACCCCTAAACCGTAAACCCATAAACCCAGAAACCCCTAAACCCTAAACCAACCTTGAACCCTAACCCCAAAACTCCCTAAACCCTAAACCCCGAAACCCCGAAACTCCCTAAACTCCCTAAACCTTAAACCCTAGACTTGGACTCCTCGGAGTTGCCGGTGGCCGCGATCGGATCGAAGATCTCCAACGAGTCTCGGGCCTCGCAATAGGGTTTAGGGTTTAGGATTTTTTTTGTGCTCTGAGACTTTCTCCCCGCAGAGGTCGAGTCGCAGCCATCCAGGCCAGCACTAACTACAAAACAACTGCAAAAACCAGGGTTTAGGGTTTAGGGTTTAGGAATAGAACACGATGAGGGTAGTTCCCTAAATTAGGGTCCTTCTGTTAGGTTCCCAATATGGTACGGCACCTTTTTTTTTGGCGGGGGGGACCCCTACTTTAGAGAACTACCCGGAATGACGGTTGATGATATAGATCCTGCATTACCCAGAGTAAGGAATATGCCATAATTCACATAGTTCAGGAGTTCAGGGTCCTTAAGAGGTAATGCAGGAATTATATCATCAACAGTAGGAAAGATGAGGCG